TTAAAACAACGAACTTCACTTTATATAAAAATGCCATAATAACAAAATTGCACTTGCCTGTTCAAATCTTCAAACAGCAAATTTCACTTTTTTACAAATGTTGTAAATAAGTTTTGCATATATATATATAATTGCATATATATATATATATATATATATAATTAAAGAGGGGGAAAAAATATCATTTCAACATTTTAGGAAAATTTACGACTTAAAATTTTACAAACCTGCAATTTATGCACATAAAAGTGAACAAATGCACACGATGAAAAATAATATAATATATATATATATATATATTTATATATATATATATATATATATATATCTTACCTCGTTGGCAACTTTGAATGGCACTGTATATGTAATTATGCAGACAACACAGTTAAAAAACCAACAATAATGAACATTTGAAACAAACAGTTAAATACACTAAAATTACGTATACGTTTCACCATTACGGCTACTTTTGAGATCGGTGTTACGTACAATAATAATTTTACATACAAATAGTGATGTTTTGTTCAATGACTGATGAATTCACAAGAATTGTATGAACTCATAAATAGCAGCAGAACAGGAAAATTAATTTATATGCAGTACCAGTAAATCACTCTCACATTCAAATATTTACATCACACTTTACACGCGTGATGAAGTCGCATCAAAAATAAGTACGTCGTATAATAGCTATAAAATATGATAATGATAACATGTCTAACTGCGATCGCGCGTGAATGACCGTTAAATTGTATGTCTCTTCGATTGCTGTAAAGCTTCGGATATTTAAGTAGAAAACATAGTAACTTTAAAAAATATGTGTACGGATCTGAATGATATTTAAGGCAGATATAAGTTTCAATAACCCAGTGTTCTGAATTTAATTGACGTTGAGAATAATCAAGAATATTTTGAACAAAAGCAAAAAAGTACTTAATTTAATTTCTGGTTTCAAATATAATAATCGCAAGAAAGTATTAACTGCTAAATTTTTTAGTATAAATTAATGTAACTGATGTAAGTAAAAACATTCAAAGAAGCCAATTAAGACTGCATTGAATTTAAGAAAAGCTGTAAAATTTTAGCTGAAATTATACTTCTTTAGTTTGTTACCAAAGGCGACATCAACACAACATGCAATTATTATTATTAATATTTTCATTTAAAATCGCTGCAACAAAATTTGATTTTCCTGCTCTGCAGTTTAAGTTGCAGTTGCGCTGAGTCCTCTCTGAGGTAAATAAATTCATTCCATTTCTCAAATGCACTAAAATATGAATTATTCTACAAAAATCACATTTCTAACATGACTTACTCGTATTTTACAGTAAGTGTTTCGCACAAAGTAAAGAGAAAATGCAGTTAAAAGATTTTTAATTCTGTATTTAGATAATATCATCAATTCCACAAATTGGAATACCATAATTTTAAAAACCGCACAAATCACTGCTTTTAAATATATGTCTCTCTCTCTACATATATATATATATATATATCTGTAATTAGATTGACTATATTCCTTTATTTTATGATCTATTATAAAAGTTTATCAAATAATTCCGTAATCTGAAAGTAAGCATATCTCCTCAAAGATATACAGTTGTATTGCCGAAAAATATTCCAAGAGAGTACGATGAAATTTAACTTCTGACATGAAAGTACTGTAATTTTATCATAAAAAAAAGCTCAACACCACATTTTCATCTATAAAAACACAAAAAATTTTAAACATAATGAAAATTAGTCAATTACTGCTATTTTAAAAACAAGTCTAAAACAAAGTAGTAACACAGAAACTGTCAAACGTTTTATCTCACATTTGCCGGCGATCTACAGTTTCTGTTATATCTCTATTACATTTACTGAGGCGAAAAAAGTAATTTTGGAGATCGATTTTAAATTGGACAATACAACTGTTGTAAAGATAATTCAAAATCTAACTAAAATTTTAGCGTTATCGACTTTTAAAATTTTTAAAACGTTATGCGAAACACTTAAAAAATTCAGTAACGCAGCAGTCGTCTTTCCTCAAAAATGTTCCATAAAAAAGTAAACTCCTTATAAATAATGTCAGACGAATAAAATTAATCTACATAATAAATACAAAATACTGTAGCCTTAACGACAACATTGCCTTGCAAGAAATTTTCTCACTTTTAATTTCAAAACCTGACGCTGAACTAAAAGCGTTCAACCGCAATTTACACTTGCACCTTTGAAGAAAATGAAGCACATGCACTTAATACTGATGTACCTAGAAGTTCTAGGTTTATAATAATATACGTTGTCATTCGGACGCACGATATCGGGAATATAAATTGTTTATTTCACTTATTTTAGAATAGGGGTCATTGGTTTATGCCATTACTGTACGCAATACAAATAAATACTAGCCAAGCATTTAATGGAATTACATTGTTTAGAAGCTTAAGAAAATACTCTATCACGCCTTTAAAATAAAATTAATTCATAAAGGAAAATACATTTAATTCTGCATTTTAAGTAAATGAAAACGTATTTGCGAATATTTTTCATTATCAGAGAAACCTTTCGTTATTGTTAGACTATTTCGTTATCCGAGAAATCAGAATGACTGTAATCACTGAAGTAGTTATTATTCCAGCAGCAAAAATTAAGAATATGGAATAAATAATATCCATTGCTAGTGTAACTTTCTTCGAGGGGAAGCTATAACAATCAAAGGAAAAAGCTGAACTCACTTTCAAAGCAAATTTTTTGTGTCGGGTATTTTAGTATCACTTATCCTTTATTGAGAGAATCTTATCCTTAGCTGAGAAAACATATTACTTCTTAAACTCTCCATTAAATATTTACAATGAATTAAACCGACCCCATGTCTAGAATAAGAAAATAACTTCAAATTTAGAAGCAAACGCTAGTCACACGCAACAAAATTTCGCGCTAGGAACGCTGTACAGGAAGAAATCGGACTGCCGAGTTAACCATAAACATAAATTCATCTTTTCAAAAGAAGAGACACATTATTCTTGAGCACAAAGAACAAGAAATCCACAGAACAAGACACACGAATCCCATCGTACCAAAGCTTTGTCTAACTACGAGATTTAAGGGAAGAATGGGCTGAGATTCGAGAGAGCAACAGTTAATATACCTGGTATTCTTCAAAAATGTCTCTCTCATCGCAAGAAAACATTGTTCTCTCGACCTAGTAGCTCTCTCTGTTTCTCAGAAAATGACACTGACGTAGTTGCAGTTCTAGTGTTGTACTACTTACTATTCATTACAGAAGATCAGTCTTCAAATACGATGAGTGGCGAAGACATTAGAGAATTGAGTTTAATAAAAGCATGCACATGTGCCGTATTTCCAGATTCCGCATTGGCACATAACGTATGTGAATCTTCACTGTAGTCCCACCGTATCCCGTGGCTGGTCACATTAAATTATACCTCAATAAACTGTTTTCGTGCACACTTGAATGTAAAAATCTTCTTTACTGCAGCTTTAGAAAACAGTTTTCTTCCGGGGAAAAAAAAAAAAAAAAAAAAAAAAAAAAACTCCAACAATCAATAGCACATAAAAATTCATGTCACAGAAGAGTTTTAACCTGAAACAGTCACCAATGTTCACGCTTCCTTTCTAACGTCTCTCCGAAAAAGGAATTATTATATTTACTAACTACTTAGCTTAAGAAATGAAAATCCTTAATTTACTCTTCCTAAATGCCAAAAAATTTGAAAAACACCCCCCCCCCAAATAAAAAGAAAGAAAAAAAAAGGGGGGGATGGGTCTAGTTAGAGACGAATTAGCAATTCTTAACAGCCTCGTTCGTCACAATAAATTTATTTTAAAACTGAAAGTAAGATTTCTTTTCCCCATCATTTGCTTAGTTTTGGAATCACAGTTTCTGTTAATGGCAATAAAACGGGGATAACAATTAAGCAATAACCTTCTTGCTCATTCTTGAAAAAAAAAAAAAAAAAAAATCAACTTAATCCTAACATTTCCATCTTAGATATTTAACGGCTTTAACATAATACAAAATAATCTGTAATTATACAATACATTAATCTGTAATTATACACATTTAAGAGAAACTTACCACTTTCATCTTCGAAATAGAGCATGGCACTGAGGGAGAAAATAAGAGCCCGGCAACAAAATAAATACTTTAAACATATTTTTTGAATCGTCTCGATTCTGATAACAGATTTACACTCACTGATAAGGAAGCACAACCATCTGAACAGTTTGATGATGGTGAAATAACGCAGCCTCTTTATTTTTCAAGGTCGATATCTCTAAGCGCCCAGAGCAGCTTAGAAACCCCACCCACGGCTAGTAATATTATGTTAATGTGCCATAATATTATTCAACGCCTGAATGCCACCCTACAGCAAGATGAAGATACGGAGCACCCAATTGGCTGATGCTTTCTACAGGTCACAATGCAAATTTCAACAGTGGGTTGTTCAACTTGGTACTATTTTTTCTCCCCCCCTAAAACACATTACCTATGATGTCATTAACAAATTTTACTTCACTCGAAATTTTATTTTGGCAATTAATTAATTTTCAGTTTATATTTCGAATGGAATTTTTATTATATAAGTAATGCAATATTAATAAGGATTCATACAGAATTTTTTTTTATGTTTTTACTAATTGCAGTACTAATTTTCGATATCCACCTATTTTATTATTGATACTGATAATTTAAATCAATTTACTCAGAAGGTTTTTAGATATTCATCCGCATGCTGTGTTTCAATTTTTTAAAATTAAACTTCAAATATTGATAAATAACTTAAAAGTTAAAAAAAAATAATTTAAGGCAAAATAGACTTATTGAAACTCCAGTAAAATTAATTACGCAATTAGTATAGAAAGATTCTTTGACAACTTTATTATAGAAAAAAATATAAACTTCATTTAATAATGAATTTGAAACTAAAAAAAGGTTTTTCTCATCAGAACTAATTATCCCTGAGTATAATAATAAGATTTATATTTTTCAGAATCCTTTTTGAAGAAAGGCTTACTCCTATCTGCTGTGTAACGTGGTGAGTATACTGCAATTTGTTACTTAAAATCCAAATTTCTCATTCGTTTAAACTATTACAGACCACAACTTTTATTGTATACATTTAGAATAGTATTTTACTCAGTTCTAACATTCTGGTACCTACAAAAGTTTACTGAACAGATTCAGAGTGTAATTTAAAATAGCCACTTAAAAAAAAGCAAAAGATATTAGAAGATAGAAGGAAGAAATTGGAATTATAATACATAAAACACATGCGAACAGAATAGGAAAAAATTTTTGTCAAAAATTCTTTGCTAACAAATTACAGTAACCATGCCAAAAGGGAAGACTTAAGCAGTGGTAAAGTACAACTAACTTGATTGCAAATATTTGAAAAAAAAAAGTTTAAAAAAATTAATGCAGATGTTTAAACACAATTTGCTTTATTAAAAAATTTTAAAAAATTATGATGGAAAACTAATTGCTGAGTTGACTTGTTAATCTAGATCATGATAATTATATAACCCTAATAAATAAAGAAAACAAATGATATAATTTTGTTTTACGGCCTTAATTAAAAGATTTTTTTATCCTTACGTCCAAATATGTCTAAGATATTTACGCAAATGAAGTGTAACTTAAAAACTTTTTATTCTGGCTTTTTGGCAACTGTGAAGATCTCAAACCACTTCTCTTTGCTAGGTTAACTTATTAAAATTAGAGGGTTTACACAGAACAATGACTAAGGTTTACACAAATTTAATGAAACACAGAAAACGTTATCAACTTCAGATATGCCGCGAATGATAAGCCCAAAACATGAACTGAATTCATATGAAAACTTTTTTGGGGAAGGCTTAATATTGGAAACTATTCTGCCAACTCACTAGGTATAATTCTTTTAGAAAGAAAAAAATAGTAAGTAGACGCGTGATGGGAATTAAAATTTTCCTTACATAAAATAGGTAAGATTTCTGGCTCGAAAGTATTCTTAAGTCTGAAATTTCTTGTTTTACAGAAATTTTCCTTCAAAGTTAACAGCATAGAAAGCATTATTCAATTACAGAAGAAAATTTTATATCAAAGTAGTATAAGGGAATGTTTCCTTCATAGGCATATTTATGATTATGACAGAGAGCATCGAACTCAGATCAATGTAGTCATTTCCAATCAAAATGACTTCACATTTGATAATCCCTTCCAGGAAGAAGAAGCGTAAATTTCTTAGTATAAACACTTAATCTGCACAATTTAAAAATGCTAAGACTGAAATTTTAAAATTAGCAGTGAACATTTCAGAAGTGACTGTTCCAAAGCTAAACTGTTTTCACGTTCATTTAAATAGTATTGCACACACAGTAAAAAAAAAAAAACGTTTACATAAAGTTCCTGGCCATACAGTATAGTTTAATTCGGTTTTTTGAATCACTAAGTCTTTGTCAGAAATGTTATGGAAACATTTACTATAATGCATACCATGTTTAAGTACTATTTCCCAACGCAACATATGAAAAACTCATAATAAGTCACGCTGACCAACCACGGGTGTTTTGGAAGGGGGGGGGGGGGGGGGGGGGGGGGGGGGGGGGGGGGGGGGGGGGGGGGGGGGGGGGGGGGGGGGGGGGGGGGGGGTGGGGGGGGGGGGGGGGGGGGGGGGGGAAGTCCTTGAGTATTCCCCTCCTTGGAAAGAACGGAAGATATACGACACTCACTGCTGCTTAGAAAGAAAGGGTGAAATGGGGAAAACAAAAATAAAACAATGCGAAAAAAGTAGAGGAGGAACGACCTTACGTTTTTGTTGCCGATGCAGTGGAATCATTGTTGTTGGCATTGTTACCTCCACTTGAAGCTGAAGACTTCTGGTGAACTGCCAGTTTGGCAGCTTGCGCTTGTCGCTCTTGTTCGTTCAGTTCCTTGATGGCCTGAATCTCTTTCTTGAGCTTCATGCGCCGGTTTTGGAACCAGATTTTGATCTGGCGTTCGGTGAGGCAGAGGGCATGTGCCATCTCGATGCGACGCCGTCGGGTTAGGTAGTGGTTGGTATGAAACTCTTTCTCCAACTCCAGAGTCTGGTAGCGTGTGTAGGTCTGCCGACCCCGTCTGCGCAATCCATTGGCGCCTGCAAATATAAACACTCTGCTGCAGTATGAAAGTCTAGACGGCTATCAACCAGCCATAAAGCTCGAGCTCTTATCTCTTAACACAGATGCGGCGCTGCTTTTTATAGATTTTAGAAAGTAAACTGCACTGCAAGCTTTTCGCGGAGTGTAAATAGAGATTCCATCATAGGGAGAGGGGGGGGAGTGACGTGAGGTTAACAGGAAATGTGTTCTTTGATTTTCCGAAAGAGCTATGACTGCGGAAAACACCATACGGCTTTGGGCAAGCTTCTGTAGTTAATATTCATGGATACAAATTTTCTTTTTCTTTACGTAGGAGGGGAGGGGGAACTTAATTTCGAGAAAAATTTATTTTTAACTACTGATCCAAACCGCTACTGAAAACTTGCTCTTATCGAACACAACTTATGAAACGATTTTTCAACTATACATTACTAAAAATATATAAAATTATCAAAACATTATCATTTAATTTTTACTTTACAGTATGTAACCTGTCAGCTTAACCAGGCTTCTGAATAATGTAGAAAACACAACTCTTCGTTACAGAGCATATTCAATTTTCAGAAATAACTTGATTTACAAACAGTTTAAGAAAAAATATTCTCGTCAAAATACTTAAAACATATTATTTTTCTCTTTAACTAATAGTTTCAATATACACCAGTTTTTAAAAAAGCACCTGTGATATTCTGAGTTTTCTTATTAATTTAAAAGATTGTTATCATACTTCATGAGGCATATTAAAGAAGTTATAATTTATGCATCACATTTACAAGTAAGTAACTGAATTAAAAATTAAAGAATTAAAAGCTAAAATTATCATAATATACAATATTTATTTTATTGAACGTAGATCTGATAACACTGGTAATACACGTTGAACACATTTCTATCAGATTACAAAAGCACCTGCAAATTTATTTTATTCTAACCCAAAACATTCTTTCATTCTTTTTCACGCAAAAACACATGTATTCAAAGTATTCTCAAATGCATGGAATATTTTGCACTAGGATTCTGAGCAATAAACCTAAAAGAAAAACAGTAATAAATTAAATGAATATATAAATTTTAATGTGTGTTATACTGTACTGAAAGCATTCGACTCATGTTATCACAATGCTGAAATACCAAGGTTATGTGACATATGGATACGATTTTTTACCTTAAATAAAAATTGAAAATTTGCATTATAAAATGTCAAGCTTTGTTTTTTCATTAATGAATTTCTGCAGAGTATCTTATCATCGAGTACAACTTCTTTACGAAAATGTTTTAAGATTCCTTTTGTGACTGAATAAAATGTGATTCATTGTTTAATTTGGTAGGCATTTAGTTAGGTTTTACGATTCAACTGAACGCCTATTTAATAGGGTCCCCCACGACCGAGTGGTAAAGTCACGGAAGCCTAGCAGTTCGAACCTGGGCTCGATTCCAGGAGAACCGGCTGACTGTATGGACTCTTTAGGGTTTTCCCATATGTGAGGTAGATATGAATCATTTTCCTTTAGAAAGTCCTCCACGAAGGCATTCTCTCCTTTGACAGATACTCCTCATGTGCTTTGCCATAATCAGATAAACCAAACCAAACCTACTTAATATAGCCGAAAGGCAACTCATAATTTTATTGCTCTAGTTTTCTGTAATGAATAAAGTTACGTCACGACAATGAAGGAAGTTAAGGAAAAAATTATGCATTGGATTTTTTTAACATTTATTATAAATTTAAAAAAATAATTTTCTGGTTTCCACCAGATTCAGTTATTTACTAAGCTCTAAAGACTGAAATATTTAGTGTAGTCCATTTCTATTTAATTTAAAATTACAATATTTTATTATCTAGAAACTAATTTGAAGCTGATACCACCAGATTACATAGATTCTTAAACAGTAAAGGCGGTAAAAACGAACTGGCAAAATTAATTTTCATTTAATTAAAAATATCCAGTATTTAGTTTTTTAGTGTAGACAGTTCGCCAGTGGGCAAGTGGATAAAAATGCCTTGAACACTCATAGGAAATCTCGGGTTCGATTCCCGGCGAACGGATTGGGTGCTTGAAGGTTTTGTACCCTCCCCCTTGCGTAATGTGAATACCGACTAGTTATTTCCTTACAAAGTCTTCTACGGAGACACATAACTCTCACGTACTTTGACATATTCAGTCAAGCAAATAACGTTGGCTAACTTTTTAAAAAGAATCTCAAATACCTTCAAATATGTCTTTTCTACAGCCAAAGCAAAGTATCTCCTGTAAGTAATATGTCCTTCAAATAACATCCAGAATTTTTTTAGCTGGAATGTTAAGTTCGGAAAGATAAACCTTCCGTGAATTTTTTTGCCTGGAGATGAGATATAAAAGAATGATATGCAGAGCACATAATATTCGGCATATTTCATATTTTTTCATGCACTAATTTCACTAAACGCAATCCGTAAGAAGCAAATCATGAATCTTTTTTATGTATTTTAAATGCTGTATAACATCTGACTTATTTATTCCTTGATTTGCTGAAGACAATAAATTCCTTTTTACACGAATTTTGCTAAGTTTATTTACTGTCACAAGACTCTATAACGAATTATCACTTTTCTCCGAGCCTGCTTTCCTGATGTGGTAATCAAAAGATCCATAGCTGGAAGAGGGTTTCCTGTTTCGTTCTTTTCCTTTCCATCTTACCGTCAAAATCGTGCCATTTTATCCACTGCTATCACTAGTCTCTCCTCATCAGCAACCTCTACTGGCGAAATCTTTCCGGTTTCAACCACTGCTCTCACCCCATTTTCATCATCAGATTACCTACAGATGAAAGGTTGAATTCCCCCCGATTCGTCCTCTTTTCAAAAAGTCGTTATTGAGAGAGTCATTTATTGAGACAGGGAATAAACATTACATGATAAATGCCAATTGGCTTGTTACACTTAACAATCTGATTAATATACAAATTATTGTAAAGTAATTTTAGAACGATGCACAGACGTGAAGTGCAGCTCTTTTTCATATGTTAATATTCATCCTGATTCATATGTGATCATCCTAAACTTGTCTCTTGATATTTTCATTTCTTTCCGTTTAAAATGTGATCAAGAGTTTATCAAAACCTGAATTTATTGAAAACAGACGTGACCATCCAGCTGCAATATTAGAGTAAGTTAGATCATATGCATTAAAAAGACATTTAAAAGATGACAATAAATACTGGATTTCCCAAGAAACTCACGGCAACGGAACTTAAGACAAATTCTGAAGATGATGTACTGCAAGAAGGAAACCGTACTTGCATTCCTAACATAGCTAAAATCGAGATAAAAAAATATATAAAAAAGATTAGAGAAAAGGTAAACTTACTCCAGTTCAAAAATTTTAGAACGATACTCTGGCAAATTTTAGAACGATACTCTGGCCCACCATCGGCCGAGCCGTAAAGTCGTTTAACACTGGTAGTTCGGTTCAGGGTTTGAGTCCCGACGAACGGGCTAGCTGCATGGGCGTTTTCGTGCTTTTTCCCGTGTGTGATGTGAATATGAGCCAGGTTCTTTCAAAAATTCCTCCATGAAGGCAACAATCCCTTTAGGCAGACAGCTTTCATGTGCTTTGCCGTAATTAAATAAACCAAAATATAACGATATTTTATCACCAGCATGAGATTTTGGACTAGATTTCGTTAGAGAAAACCCGAAATTTGAATCTATGAAATCTTCAATGTATAGACGGTGATGTCTACTTTCAGCAGATGGAAGTTGAAAATTCGGTTCAACTTCAAAATTAAAAGTCGTTTTTTAGACGAAAAATAGACGCAAATAACCGGACACATAGCAACTTTGGCTTGGACCTCTTCACCAAATTATCCATACGCACAATTGTCCCCGAATGTCCGATTCCTCCAGTCTGTTTGGACATTTGGAGATACCTTACTAAACTTGGTGTATAAATAGACAGCACTTCTTTCTTCGATAGATCATGAGAACAATTCATATGAATTTGATCACGCTTAAAAGAAATTATAATTTAAAATTGAAATGAAAGAAAAAATCTTTAATTTTGCTATACTGTTTCAAGCAAGCAATTATCCAACAATTGTGAAATAAAAATCATATGGATTTGAGACTGATTAGAAATTAACTGCAATTTAAACTTAAATTGATATAAAAAATCTTTCACACAGATTAAACATGAGATACAACAATACCTTGCATAGCCTGGTTAATCGGCTCCGTTATTATCCCATACGGTTTGAAATCGGACTAATTGAAAAACTATATGAACACACACACATAAAAGAAACTAATAAGTTCCCAATTTTTTTTTTTTTTTTTTCTTCCTGATTTTCAACAAATAAAACGCAACTTATAAATTCAAATGTCTTCATTATGAATAGTTTTTAAAAATGAATATTTATTACAATTCACTTTCTATGTCTAAAATTTTCAATATCGATAGCTTCAGATGTTTCTTTGGCTTTTTCATTTTAGTCGTTTTTCTGTAGCAGCGAACTACATCGTTTATCGTTAAGCGAAGCGAAATGTAAAACTACGTTCAGCTTTGGAATCCATTCCCATTACATGTTCTGACGAAGTTTCAATCACTTCAAAATTTTTTTATAGTTGTTCAAGTGTTAATAGTGATTATAATGAAGTGGATGAGTTGTCCATCGACAACTGTCAGAGTTAGAGAACAAAAGGCCAAAAATTCGGTTTGTTCACTATTTACATACATAAATAAAGAGGAACAACTAATATATGCATCGTATTTCGTAACTTTAAAATATTACAAAAAAGACTTAATTATATAAAGAAAAAAATCGATCATTTATGCATTAAAAATAATTTTGTATACTACTTTCTTAGAATTTATTTTTATTTTACTCAATTAAAATTTAGTTTGTTTTGAAATTTTTAATTCGAACTGCAGTGAATGAGGACTAACCGAAACCGGGTTATGCGATGTATTGCTGCGCATAGATCTGCAAAACCCCGCTTTTCTAATGTTTATTAAAA